TAGTAGAATACGAGATACAACTAGGAAGGTCATTTATAAAAAGGGAAAAGAGTAAATTTACACAAATAAAAAAAAAATAAATAAATAAGCTGTTTTCGCTTCAAACACGCGCAAAAGAATGAAAAACTATCGATAGCAGCGACCAAACATGGGTAAAAAAAATCGATGTATCGATAGTACCATCGATGTCTGTCAGTTCCAGCTCTAACTTCTAGTACACAATCATTGATCGGAATAGCTTATTAAAATTGCAATACTTTTTGTTGGACAATATGTCCTCGGAAGAATTAGCAATAGTTTTTGTTGCGATATCACTAAGGTCTATCATATCAATGAGTTCCTACTCTGGACTTAACAAGCCGCCGATGTTTGGTGATTATGAAGCTCAGCGACACTGGCAGGAAATTACATTTAATTTAGAAGTAAAACTGTGGTATACTAATAGTACGCTCAATGACCTACAGTATTGGGGGCTAGATTATCCACCCCTTACAGCATATCACAGTTATTTACTTGGTCATGTAGCAGAGAGACTTAATCACAGCTATGTTGAATTACACAAGAGCAGAGGTATTGAATCAAAGGAGCACAAGAGCTATATGCGCTTTACAGTTTTAGCAGCGGACGCTTTAATTTTTATTCCTGCTATATTGGCTCTGTCTAATTGTATGGATCGTACTTTTAAAAAAAACTTGAGGCAAAAAATGCAACTACTCTTTGCAATATACCCAGGACAAATGCTAATAGACAATGGACACTTTCAGTACAATAACATGTCGCTTGGACTCGCATCTGTAGCTGTTGCTGCTTTGCTGTGTGATCGAAATTACGTTGCCGCTTTTACATTTACGTTGGCTTTGAATTATAAACAAATGGAATTATACCATTCCTTGCCGTTTTTTGCTTACCTCCTGAGCACATCTTTATTTAAAAAAAGGTATATATTTAGAATTAAATGAATAATAATTTTAACGTTTGATCGATGACTCCTTTTTATGCCCTGAACCTATTGAATCAGGGTATTGATTTATTATATGTACATACATAGTATATATGTAAGTAATACGTGTGTCAGACACAAATGCTAGGTTAAAGAAGTTCTCCTAGATATTTACATTTATCAGTGTATTGATGTACTTTTTATACCCAATAAAATTGGGAACTCACGGTATAATGGTTTTGATGAAGTGTATGTAACAGGTAGAAAGAGGCGTGGCAGACACCACAAAGTATATATATTCTTGATCAGTGCGACAAGCTGAGTCGATTTGGCCCTCTCCGTCTGTCTCGCGTCGATAGAATCAGAGTTTATCACTAAAAATCAATAACTGCTCCCGATATTTTATTTTCGATTAAAAACCTTATCGAAAGCTGGTTATTTAATTATATTGTCTACACCTTTAGAGCTAGAGTTTCCAAATTTTGAATGTAGACTTATGAGTATTTTTATTTTTGTTGTAATTTACCCCCTTCACCCCTATGGAATGTATATACATTTGAACATTATGATTACGTTCTGAAAGATTGTATGTGTCTAGATTGTATGTCTAGAAATTAAATTATTCAACAAACAAATACTTATAATATTGCCCATACTGCACCGCAGCACAAGCGCAGTCGATGTGCAGTCAGCAGAGCGCGTTCTAATACGTGCGTGTATATGTATGTGTGCCTAAAAGAAGTGCAGAGCGATTAGAATATCAGATTGGAGTGTTCAGGGTATCACCTAGTCGAGCAGTCTCGACTAGAGTTTTCTTACTTGTTTTATTATCTAATGAAACCCCTATACAAAAAATATTCCAGATACTATTAAATATTTTAAAACTTACTCTGAAGATAGTAATTCTATACAAAAACCGGTAAGAAAAACCAGCTCAACTACCGGATCCCCTTTTGCCTGTTACACACATTTTAACAAAAGCATTATACCGTGATTTGCCATTTTCAATGGGTTGAGAGTATAACAAGAAAGCTCTAGTCGAGAGCTACAAAAAAAAGCGATGTTGCAAAAGAATTTAAGATTTAAGATTGGGGACGCTGTGTTGGGTTCTTGTGAATATATAACAACTTGGTGTTCAATG